ATTATGTACATGTAATTTACTAACAATGTAGAAGAGTGTGCTGTTAGTAAATTACATGTACATAATCATATCAAGTATTTTTTTCTGTATTTAAGCTCTTTAATCACATAACATTTATTTTAATCATGAAATTGCTCAGTGGTAAATGTCAACTAATTTTTTAAGAGTATGAGTTATGGGTAGCTAACAGAAACATTTGAAATTTACTGTTGAACAAGTTCATGAACTTATCCTATGGTGCTAGGTAATTCTAGCAAACATAGGTGTCTGAAAAAAAAATCATTTTAAACATACTTATCTGTATCCATAAATGAAACATATTATTTGAACTTCATAAAATTTAACCAAGGCTGTATATTATGCTTTCTAATAGTATTCTTAAATTTACTCCATAAAATTTAACCAAGGCTGTATATTACGCTTTCTAATAGTATTCTTAAATTTACTCGTATAATAGTTAAAACTAATAACTTATGAGATGTGTGAATATAATAAAATAAGAAAATTGTAATATTCTAGCAGAGAAAATATTTTAAAAAGTATATGTCAGTAAGCAAATGCTGAAATAAGCATTTTGTGTTTAGGGCTACAATTTTTAGAATATTTAACATTATTCTTGTACATGGAAGTTGTACTACAGATTTTCATACACAGTCACTGGAATTGGAGAATACCAAATTTTAAATGATCCATTAATGTGAGGTAGATATACCAGAGTTTTTTATTTTGGAAGTTATTTTACCAATTTTATGAAGTCAATTTCAATTTTTTGTGTCTCCCTTTTACAGTTTTTTTAGCCACCCAGTGGTTTCATTGTATTGGGCTTTAGGTTTAGGTGTAATCAGGCTTTACATGTGTACTCTTGTGTAAAAACAAACAAACAAACAAACAATCTCATTCCAGGGTGAAATTTAGGTTTTGCTGTAATGAGATCATAGTGTATAATTTTGTGAAAACATTTTTAATACTACCTGTACTAATTATTCACTGAAATGAATCTTGATTATGAGTTATTTATAAGTACCAATCGTAGTATGGGACTATTACATTTTAATGTATGAAAAATAAATATAAATATATAACTGACCTGAGTAAATCTTATATACAAATTCTACTTCTGCCTTTTTTTAATGTGTCCTCTTTTTTATTTAGTTCATAAGTTTAATAAAAAAAATTATGAAGTATCAAATTCTGACCTATTATGAAGCAGTTAAAAGGTCCTGCATGTGCCAATTATGTATCACAGAGGTTTGAGAAGAGCTTCTGTTAGCCTTTGTTTTACACGTATTTCAATTGCCAAATTGTATAATAGCATGAAAGTTTAGGTATATAAAATCTTTTAATTGATTGTTTAAATAAATAATAACTTAAAACTTGTACCATAAAAAACAGAACAATAATTTATCAGAAATGGAAAGCTAATTTCACCTTAAGAGAAAAACATGAATAATTTACAATATTAACAATATAATCACAAGCTTAATCAATTTGTTCTAAGTACACAAACATATGAGGTGAGAATACAAAGCTGTGAAATAAAAATCTTCAAATGCACCTTATGATTGTCAACCCCTAGTTGCTATTTTATTATTGATCTCTTCTATCAGTAAACCAGTAAAGAGATAATTAATTTTTTTCTCTCTTTTTTTTGTGAAAAAATTGTTTAACTATTTAAACATATGATTAACTTGAGTTATAGTGAAATATTGGCATATATTCATTTATTTGTCTGAATCTCGAAATCAGCGTAAAACAATGTAATTTTCGATATTCCAAAACAATAATACACTTTCCTGGGGAAATATTAATATATTAGATGTTCCAGAGTAATGTTGCACTTCCTCATTAAAAGTACTTTAATCTTTAGTATTTTGGAATAATTCTGTAATTTATTTCTCTGTTATGTTAAAAATATAAACCATTATAGTTGTTAGGAGGTCAGCTAAATGCATTTTTATACGTTTGTGAGTCATTCTTATTCTTTCAGTTGCTGAAGATGGACTGAATGAGATTGTAAAACTCAGTGGAGAGTTGAAACAAATAGAAATAAAAGAAAAAATAAGATAGGTATGTCTCTTTTGCTTGAATTTTCTCTGATTTGTAGTCCAATAGTACATTTTCCTTGTTAGAACAACAAATTTGTAGTATTTATCTGTTCTCCATTAGGATGCTTTCAAATAAAACGTAAGTATACATACAGCAAAAATAATGTCTTAACTTTAAAATATATCTCCTTAACTGTTGGAGCACTTAAGAATAAGAATTAAGTTTAAACATTTTTTTTTATATGCACTCAAAGTGTTTGCATAGTAGGTATAAAAGTTAGTATGCTTTACCTGTTAATTTGTTAAGTATCTAGTCAAATTGTAATTGTAATAACTGATGAAATAATGCATTTTAATCTTCAAAAGTAGAAACATAAAAAAAGTATATTTAATGATCTATACTGATTTCCAGGCTGATTTTTAGTTTTGTTGCCAATATATAGCTTTCTCTGATCAAAATTAATATATGATGATCAGAATTTGTCCTACTTTCCAGTGCTGTCCATTTGCCTCAGATAATGATTAAATGAGTTTTGCTGTAATGATATTTTTGATACTTTCCTTGTAAATTAGACTGAAGGGTATTTTTTGTTTTGTGTAAAACATGACTCATTTGGATTTTTTAAATATTTTGTCATTGGTCTTTTATCTTACAAAGTGGGAAAAAAGATGATTAAGGGATGATTAAGTCTTAAAACATACTAAAAGTCATTTTTGAGAATACTTGAAGACTGCATCACACACACAGTAAAGGTTTACACAAGTCATATACAATAATTTATTCTGGAATGATAGGCTTACCTCTGTGCACACAGTAGCTATTCCTTGTGCATGCTACTAGCTTTGAGCTATTTTTCATATAAGACATGCTATAACATGAACTACACTAGTGCTTGATGTAATCATCATATGACAATAGTCCTCCACCATTAGGAGGGCAACATATCCTCTATGCACAGTAGATCCACATTATCACTTGCACTCAAAGTTAACTTCATTCTTATCCTCAGCACTGTCTTTAACTGATGTGTTTCTTTAAGTTTAAACTTAATCAACTTTGTGAGATTTGCATTGCCTTTTCACATTGTCAACTTTCTTTGGTTTTCTTTTAGTTTGTTTTAACTTTGATTTCATGCTACATTGTCACTAAATAACTAAAAAAAAAAAATTGATTTGGACAGTTGCTACATTAACCATGAATTCTCAAGTGATGGCAACTACTACCTCCTCCAGAGGTTATGGCAATGTTGCTATTACTATGTCTACTTCATCTGTGGCCACTAGAGGCTTGCTGGCTGTGGAAGACATTACTGCCATAGTTCATTGTATAATGGATTCTTTTATGCCTGTTTTAACTCTTTACCTGTTAAGGACAATGTTCCTCCTCCAAATCTCTATGTGAATTTAATTATTTGGTTTGTTCTTTACTTTTTCTTTTTCCTATGTTTTGTTGATTCTTCCCATACTTTACTATGTGACTTTCACACTGAGGATTATTTGGCTTTTTTTCCTTCTCCAGACAAACAGGTCCATGTTGACAAGTTCCTGGATGAGCTTTGTTCCCAGTTTCAAATGCCTCATCTTTCTTGATTCCAGGATTTCTTCATTATAACTTAGGGCCATTCCCTTTTTCCATTCTTGGATTCCCAATCCCTGGAGCCTCTTCTTTCAGCTTGAGAGACTGATGTCCTTTCTCCAGTAACACTCTCTAGTACTCAGTTTCCCTGTCTTCACCTTTTTTGTACCCATTCCTTTGTTACTTAGACTCTTGCCTCTCCTATGTTTTCTGTACAAGATGTTCTATCTCTTTTTGGAATAGTTGTATCTCTGCAACATCTTGTCTTTCTAGGCCCAACTAAAAATTAGGTTTCTTCAGAGGACTTTGAACAAACAATGGAAAGTCTCTCACAATCCTCTGTCTTATCTTATAACGTTGCTTCTTTCTTTTATTGAGAACCTGTCTTGATTGGTGAAACATGCCATTACTATAGTCAGCATCGCATTGCCCCTCCCTCTAGTTTGGATTTTTTTTTCTTCACCAACACGTTTTTTACATGTTGGGGTGCATCTCTTGTCAACTCCACAGTCTCAGGGGATTGGTCTTCTGTGTAGCATACCTTCCACATCAATGTTCTGGAACTCTTGGCCATCCTTCGGGCATGTTCCTATTTTTTATCTCGTCTTATGAATCACTTGGTTATGATCCACTCTGACTATTCTACAGTTGTTTCCATTATCAATAATCTGGTGGGAATTGCACTAGGAACTTTTGCCTTTGCATATTGGACTTTCTGTTTTTGACTTACTTGCATTGGACCTGTCATAGCCTTGGAGCTTTGAACTTGATGGCAGATTGACTCTCTTTACCAGATAGGATTCTCTATGGAGTGGTTACTCCATCCTCAGGTATTTTGTTAGATTTGTTTCAAGTTGGGCACCTAATTATCTATGCTTTTGCCTCTACTCTCAATACCAAACTACCACTTTTTTTGGTCTCTGGTACCTCACCCAGCAGCTCTGGCTGTGAATGCCCCAATCAAGGACTGGTCTCATCTCTTTCTGTATGTGCAACCTCCTCTTTGTCTTCTCCCATATGTCTTGGCATTGATTGACAACAATCCCTGCATGTTCTTGTTGGCAGCACTTTTTTGGCCAGCTCAGTCATGGTTTCCTCTTCACCAACTGGCATCTAAGGCACCTCTTCCTCTGCCTCCATCGTGGTCACTCATGCTCTAACCTCAAACATCTTTCTTTCACCCAGGAGTGTTGTCCATTCATCTTTGTACATAAGGTTTGTCCAATTCCTTATTTGCCAGTCAGTTTTTTTTTATTATGTAGCCCTTCTTTTGTCCTGTTTGTATCTTCTTTCTACTCTCTCTGTCTATTAGCAAAAGTGATAAATTTTTTACCACCATTCTTTACAACCAGGCCATCTTACTTTTGGGTTCAGGGTACCTCTCCAGTGTCTCCCCAATGTGAATCCCCCCCCCCCACACACACACCTGGTCATAAAGTGGAGCATGGGAGACCATTGCCGCAACAAGTTCTTAGCCACTGGGGTGGTTGATTTGGAGAGTTCCTCTCAGGTTGTGCGATTCTTTTGGATAGAGTACAAGTGGGCAGCACAATGCAGTGGGAAATAGGGCAGGGGTATCCATGTAATATGCCAATTTCTAGTTGGTTTGTCCATCAGGTTGGAGCAAAGTATTCTTTTCACACAATGAGAAGGGACTTGGTTCCTGCATGTAAAATGTCCGCATACCAAATCATATGGTATGATCATTGCCTGACCCACACTCGTGTTCAACCGATCTGTTGTATGCAAATGCTTGGTTGATCATGTCCTTTTTTTCCCACCTATCCCTGCATTGCATGGGCTCATTTTGCCTTCCTCCTTTCATACTTCCATCTGGGGGAAGAGTATGCCCTGCATGAGATGGATACAATCTCCCACAAGTGTTACCTCTAGTAAGCCCCCACTCATCTTCTCTAAAGGGAACTCATCTAGTTTTTTACAATTGCACCTACCCCTCCACCACATCAGTATGGGATTTTATTTACTGTATGCAGAAAGGAAAGCCACTCGTTTCAGAAGTTAATATTTTTCTTACCTGAAAATATATTTTTGGTAGATGTTTACTTCTCTTCTCACTTTTCCACCCTTCCTCCCCACTACTGGTGCACATTGAGTGCAAGTGCTTATGGGGATATACTGTATACGGTGTATGTGTTGTCGTACTATTGGTGGAGGGCTATTGTCACATGATTACAGCATGCACTAGCACAATTCATGTTATAACGTGTTTTAGGTGGGAGATAGTTTGAGGCTAGTGGTATGCACAAAATCTCAAAGATAGATGTGCAAGGAATAACGTCCAGAGATTTAACTATCTATTGGAAATACATTTTCAGATAAGAAAAATGACAACTTTATGATATTGGAATTAGCTATGTTTCATATAAAATAACTTCAAGAATATTTCAATTAGCATTACAAAAATTAGCGAAAAAATATTCTGAAGTTAGTTGTTTTTAATGTACTGAATATTAAAAAATATTCTGTTATGAGTTTCAATTGCTTATCAGTATACAATAGTAGTCGATATAATGCATATCTAGATATTGATGCCATATTATGATACATTTATAGATGAGTGTAACTTGAAACTTTTTATGGCAGGAATTATAAAAACATGGTTCAAAGGGCAATAAAACAATAACATTTCATTAGAAACAGATGTATAATGTTAGGAGCTTTAAGTTATTTAGTGTAAGCAAATAGTTTCCTGCTACAATTTGAAGTAATTCTAGAAAGAAAAAAAAAAAGGATAATTTTGATTTTTTGTGGTGGTTATGAGGCTGGTCAAACTGATTGGCTTCATATAAAATTAGGGTAGTGAACATAGCAGATAAAATATGATGATTTATTGAAAAAAGTTGGAAATTTATTTCAGAGGTTTTAGAGATTACACAAACTAAATTAGTTAATTTTTAGATGGAGAGAAGTATTTTTAATCTTAAGATGAATATCGTTTTACACTCGAAGCAATGACTACTTGGACTCCATATATTAAAACATTAATGTTTATTGAAAGCTTGCCAAATTTCGTGAAGATACATAAATAGTATCGTATCGGACGATGTATCTATACAATCGTATCATGGCTTGACGATACGATACTTGTGTTGTATTGCTGTATTGCGACACCTCTACTTATCAGTATGAAAATGAGATTTTCATGAAATGTAGAAAGATTTAGGAATAGAATGCAAATTTTATTGTGAATAGTTGAACAGAAGGTTACATTATAGTAGTAAAGTTTAATTCACAGTGACAAGTTTATTTTACAATGTAAAAACTTTGCAGTGAATAAGTTCCCCTATGGTTTCAGTATCTTAGAAAAATATTAGATGCTGTCACTCAGTAATGTGACAGACTGCTGTGCATTTCTAAGTTTTCAGTGAACTCCATTTGAATGTCATATCAATTGTATTATTTATGTAGAGAACATATATTAGATAGCTAATGAATTTACATTTAGTATACTGTAAGAAGTGATGTTATCTACATGACTTATTGTTATCTTATAAACTCTTGAGTGTTGTTCTAGGTATGTTAAAGTTATATGTTTGGTTTATTATTGTATTCTTGCAGGATTGTGTCTTGACTTCTGTGGTAATGTGTAAACTAGTTATATGTGATTGTAAAAATAAGATACTTGTTTTATGTTATTAATGAATGACATGTTTATAGCAATTTTCAATGTTTCTATATACAATGTTATTGGGAAGATCTGTATAATATTAATGTGCAATTTGTGATTAAAATATTAACCTTTAAATTGTACTTTTTGCTATTTAATCTAAATGGTTTCTTTATTGTTTTTATTACTCTATAGTTAGCTAGAATATTATTTGTATACAGAGTAGAAAGTTCTTATTTTTTGAAACATGTAAACATTTTTGATTCATTTCATGTGAGTTTTCTTGTTGAATGTTGTACATATTCTGTATTTTTATATATTTAGGAATAGAAAATAAGAATGAAGAAGATGGAGCATCCAAAAAGAAGAAGAAAAAGAAAGGAAAAGGTCAGATTTGTAGTTTTGTTTTCGTATGAACTATAAAAAAGTGTTCTCAGTATGAAGTAGCAGCAAAACCAAGATATTTTGTTTATATTCCAAAATTCAAGTTTTAAAATTTTTTATTGAGTTTTTGATAATACATTAAAATATTAAGCCTTTTGAGAAAAAGCAGTTGAGTCAATACACTTTCAGTTTTTTTATACATTATTATACTAAGTGATAAACATTTTTGATGTAATTTCTCCGGTAGTATGTATCCATTTTTTTCCACACTAAATTTTTCATTGTATTGTTTTTATCATGGTTTTCCAATCTGTTGATAATGCTGGTTGAAGTCTGAACAATGTTTTTTTTTATAGTCTGGTTAGTCTAAAATTTAAAACAAATTCACTTATGAGTGAAGGCTGGTGATTTTTACTAGAATATTATTAATTTTTAATTTCAATAATCAAGCAAGCTTATAGGAATTTGAAAATAAAGTAATATGTTTAAATATATACTTACTGATATTAGTATGGAGTGTGTGTGTGTACAATGTAGCAGGTCAAGCTTTTGGATTTATTCATCCTTTTCAGCAGATGTTAGATCATTGGTGTACATTTGTTGTTTGCAATCTGATATGGTTGGTTTATCTTAACACCCCGATACCATCTGTTAAGAAACTGGATTACATCATTACAAAGTGTTGAATTATTCACAAAATGTTTTAATCCCGATGCCACTTGGTTTTAGACTGGAGTTGATCGGCCGTCAAGCCCTAGCCACTCTACACCTTGGAACACATCCACTTTAGCTTCCCCATATTTCTGTCTGTAGATGGTTCTTCTACAGTCTTTCTTCACCGGGATTAAGATTCCAGTATATTATGGTACAGATTCAAACCCATCTAGTTTTTCTCTCCCTTTTGGTTGTGCTCCTCCCATTTTCAGCCCATGTATGCGACACCTATTTCCACACTGGGCACAGAGTATACCTGTTCCTCTCCCAATTGGGATCACACTTCATGAGTGTTCTTCTGATACTTTCAAAATATACTTATTTCTATCCCTCCCACTGGTCCCTCTACCTATTCAATGTGGGATTCTAACTATAAATGTGAGAAGAGGTAATGTACCATATTGGAATATATTATTTTCCTATACTGAAAATATATTTCTGATAAGAACTTCTCATCTCACACTTCCCAACTTTCCTCCCCACTGAAAACCAAACTTTCTTTTCTGCCTAATCTCGAAGTGATAGTTTGGTACAAAAGAGGGAGTCACATGCATTAGGATGGTGTGTTGCACTCCTGTTGATGGAGGTTTGTGACATGATGATTTACATGCAAGACACAGTTGAACCATGTTGATCGTGGAGTACGTGAGAGTTCAAGGCTTGTGGCATGTGAAAAAACTTTTGCATATAGAGGGAAACACTGAAGGAGAATAGTTATACAGGTAAGCAGAGGTAAGTACTTATCGGAAATATGTTTTCAGTATGGGAAAATAATAACTTTTGAGAGCTAGTAGTGAGATTGATATCGTAATGATATGCGACACAAGGAATACAACACACCTTAACAGGCTTGTTGCTTGATCTTCATGCAAGGTTTGTCTAATTTCTTTGTTTCCATATCACATCCCTGATATCAATGAATATTAAACAAGTTGAAACTGACTGGATATATGGAATGGAACACTGATCAATAATAATAAAAAAATTAAATCCTCTGATGAAAGAAATTATTTTTAATGCCTTTTTTCAAAGTAGTTGCTCCTAAAGAAATTTTAGAAATTTCCTATAAAAAATTTTTTTACAAATATGAAATCAAATTATATAATTTTTTAAGCTTTGATGTGCAATTTGATTAAGTGTTTCCACTGCAAAGAATATGAGTGACAACACCCACCCCTAGTCAAGAAAGGATTAATAGTTATTTGTGAAAGAATTGTATATAGAGGTCTTACTGGGACGTCAAAAAGTCACACATTCTATAATTTACTCTGCCATATTGTTGTCAAGTGTTTACAGTCTTCTCAAGCAATAAATGTTGAATTTTTCTTCTAGTATCATGTTCTTTGATGCTATAAATCATCTTGGCAATATGTATTAAGAAAGATATATTGAGAGACTGACTAACCGTAGAGTTTCTGGTTTGAATCTTTTACCAAAGGTGATGTTTACACTATTATCAGGATGTAAATCATCTCGACAATATGCATAAAGAAAGATACATCATGAAACTGAATAGCTGTAAAGTTTTGGATACATATCTTTTTGCCAAAGGCAGTTTTTAAGCCAATGACAACATGTAAAGTTTTACCAGATTTTGTTTTTATATGAATTGCTGTTTATTGCTAGAAGGGTAATGTTTGATGCCCAACATGTCAGCATTGAATGAAATGGAAAGTTTTGTGATGTCATGCACAAGACCTTTGTATAACAGCTGAAAGAATGAGAAAGAGAACCCCATCAAAGGTGAAATTGATATTTTCATGTAATACCTTCATTGTAGAATTCTAAAGAAATTTATATGTAATTTTCAGTAAAGAGAAATTATATTCCTTGCTGAACTTAGGGGCTGGTCATAAACAACAAACTGATCCTCCTTCCATACCTATCACTGAATTGTATGCAGATGGTAATTTTCCTGTTGGAGAAGAAATGGAATATCCTACACCACAAGATGGGTAATTATTTTTCCTCAGATTAAAAAAATGAAATGTAGGATTTTTTTGCTTCTAAAGCCTAACAATTGTTTTTTAAAGGTTTTAAAGTTTTTTCCCCAACTGAATGGTATTCTGCTTTTGTGCATATAACTTTTCATGACATATGTTTGGAAGAATACTTATTAAAACATAAAATGATGCAGCTGATTTTGAATATTTAATGATTTATTATATGTAAAAGATACAACTTTTTTTGTTCTATACTCTTCTTCAATATTGGTGCTATTTTTATATTAAAAATAAGTCCTTATTGAAATCTTTCTTGAATCATTGGCTAATCAGTCACCCTGGTAATGCATTATGACCTTATTGACCAATATATGGTAGGTATTAAATGTATTTTTTCTTTAAAATAATAAATTATAAAAAAAAAGGTTTACTTCAAGTTAATGTATCACCTGGTGTTTACATTCCAGTCGCAGTGCCAAAGACAGGTATACAAATGAGGAGAAGAAAACTATAGAAAACATGCAGCAGGATGTTTATAAAGAATTGAGATTAGCTGCTGAGGCCCACAGACAGGTGTGAACACTCTAAATATAAAGTTTGCTTTTTGATTTATGACTTGACCTAGAACATATCATGACAATATGTGCCAGTTTTAGGTGCAAGTTTTTGTAAAATAATCTAACTCAGTGATTCTGAATGTGGGGCGCATGCCCCGCAGAGGGGCAATTTGAAAATGCTACAATAAGAAAAATTTTACATTATATTATTATACCTTTTCAACACCGAATTTGTTTTTATATTAAGGAGGCATCAAATTTTTTGAGGTGTCAAGGTGGGGCATGGAGCAAAAAAGGTTAAGAACCACTGATCTAACTTGTACTCAGATATGTTAGGTAAAATGCCAGCTTTATATAATGGTGAAAGCTAAATGTGTACTTTTAGAAAACATTTGGAGTTCAAATTATACATAACAAGTTTCACAGCTGCAGAGAGAGAGAGAAACTTTATATGTTGTTTAGTGTAGACGTAAGATTATTTGAAATACCAAGGAATTAATAAGATGTATAAATCAAACTTGACTAAATGGTAAATAATTGAATAAAATAAATTATCTGATTTCAATATGCTTAAGCCCTCATCATCAGATTTTAATCATACTATACAGTTTTCATAGCAGTACTTCAGTCATGAACTGGTGATTAATTATAAAGATTTAATCAACATCAGGCCCAAATGAAAGTAAGTGTATCATGACTGTACATTAACAATTATATTATCATTAATTACATTCTTAACTACTACCAGCTCATTTACTGCAGTTACCTTGTTGACTGGTGTACAGAGTTGTCCACTAATTTATTCTTTTCTAAAAGATAATTACATGGTTTGTAAAGTAAAATTTTAATGAAACTTGCAAAAAAAATTATTTTCTTAATTTTCTTTCTTTTTTAAAAAAATTGGCAAATTCTAAACAATAATTGTTTGTCAATCTACCAAACACCTAAAGATTAAATAAAAAGGATCACTGACAGGATCAAATGGTATATGAATTTTAATAATGTAAAGATGCTATACCATTATAAAAGCAAAACATAAGGTTAAGGTAAATGTCTCATGATCAAATCCTCATACTGATTAACCTGTGCCAGAATTACTCAATAAGTGTGTAATATAATTATACTAATAGTTTCTAATACATACCAAAACTTCACTGAGATTTTCTAAAGCAATGATTCATAAGAAAATGGCTTCTCTTGCTTTTTGAAACTGTTATAGTCTAAAACTTTAAGTTCTTGTTAAATATTAAATACAAACAGTGATACTAATGAAGAAAGTTACTTTAGCTGTTAAGTTGTTGTCTTTTCATTTTTAAAAAATAGTATTGATGTAAATTTAAAAGAATTTTAGATCAAATCAATCACTTGGTGCCACTGCATTGACAAATAGGCAAAATCTCAATGTTTGTTATGTAGTTAATAAGTTTGCATTTGACAAGTTTTCTGCTTGTTGCCATAAAAACTAGTCACACATAAAAATATCCAATTGAATGAACATTAAAGTTTTTCCTTGTCTGTTAGAACACTGTTCCAAGTAGTTTAAACTGAACCAAATAATATTTGTAAACATAAAAAATTTAAACTTAATGACAAGAAATAAAAGGCTAACTTTGTACTTTCACCTTTATTAATGACTCTGATTCAGAGTTATAATATAAAATTGTATCTAGAGAGACTTTTACTATATCTTCATATTTTCTCATTTACAGTTAATCATTTTACATTGGTACTGGACAGTTTATGGAAAACTTTTCTTATAAAAAAGTACTTATTACCTCATACTAAACTCAGTAGTTTGTTGAGTTTGAGAGGTATTAGATTCTTGTTTTATTTAGGATTATTTCAATAAACATGAAAATCTGTTATGTACTTTTATTATAGTTTGAGTTTTGCTAGATTTAGAAAGTGGTCTAAAATATTGTAATTATATATTGTTCATGCTGAAGTGCCACATAAAGATGTCTTTTTCTTAAACTAAGCCAGTTCACTGTAATCATATAGTATGGTCATTACTATGAGTTATTTTAATATCAAAATCATATTTCTTTCATATTTATTCAAAGTTATCAAAGACTAACTAAAATTTGTTTAGAATTTATTAAAACAATTTTTGTATAAATTTCCTGTTTATACACTTAGACAAGACAGTACATGCAAAAAGTCATCAAACCAGGGATGAAGATGATTGATATTTGGTAAGTATTTTTTCATTGCTTGGTAAAATTATTTTCTTTACTGATGAAATTTAAAACAAGAATACCTATTTTGAATTATTTTTGTATTATAAACTGATAACAAGTGTCTAAAATGAAATAGATTTCCCCTTTACATAAGATTTTAGTAGTTCTTTATTATCACCTGTGCCAAATTTCGTCTCTAAGAAGTCCTAGTAAAAATTGAATGTGGGAGGATTCTCAGTCCAATCATAGAAAAATAGTTGTGGCTTGATCCGATCACTGACAGATACTAACTTTATGTGTATTCAATGCAAGTCTTGCTATATTTCCTTCCAACAATAAAAGTAGTGGATGAAATTGTTTGAAACTTCATAAGAACTTTCATAAATGCACGTACTTTAAGAAACATAAAGCTTGTTACTTTTGATAAGTTTAGTTTTTTTGCATTATGATTAATATCTTGGAAAATTATGCTAGGAAATGGTATTTATAAAATATGATTACGATATTTATATTTGTTCCAGGTTTGAACTTACTTTTTATGTTTTAGTACATTATTTTAAAATCTCTAAAAACTTTAGAGTATAAACGAGTATTTTTTATTTTTAACTTGGATTTTACGTTTATGTATGTACATAAAAATATTTTAATTTTGTTTCATAAATGTATTTTTAGTTCAAGTTTATGTTTCACTGCAGCCGTACTTTTGTTTATTGTGCAGAAAAACCCATGGGGTTAGCAGCGTGAACTTCGTACATTTGCCGTAAACTATTGTCTGTTGGGGGTCACTCTCATTCAGTCCAGCACAGGCACATTTGAATGTTACTCTAGATACGATAGTAAGAAAGCTTTTCAGCACTTTGAACTTTCAAACAAGTTTATTTCAACATATCTCCTTGTATGTTGTTTCACTACACAGACGAAACTAGTTGCCACTACTAGTGAATGTATGTAATAGCTTACGTTACAGGTGGTTTGAATACCACCGTGTGACTCTAGTTACATGATATTTCCTGTTACAAGAGATTACCAAACGATACAAACACCATAAATTACAAAGAAAATCAACTTACAGCACTTAAAAGATTAGTCCTGGTCACATTCCTCTCATTATAGACAAGATTTATATTGGAATTTGAAACTTAAGCTCTTCAGTGTATTGGCACCCCAACTGTGAGAATGTCACAGCTTCCCCCTGTATCATTGAGACAAATGTGTTTAGTCTGTTTCACAACCAACATGTGGGTGTTATTGTTGTCACTTGTACACTAAGTTTTAATCTCTTTACAAAATATCAGAATAAGTTTTTTATATATCATTTAGACTGTTTTACTTATAAAGCAACAACAAAAGAAGTGTTGGTCTTACTACAAAGTAAAGATAGGAAGAAGGAAAAATATATAATTCTTATGTGGTAATAGTAGTATGTACAAATCACACAAGGTTATCATTCTAAATACTGAATCATATTTTATTATGAACTAAATATAAAATTATGCTAAATTATTGAACTTAAAACTGCTAATTTAAATGCAAAAGAATATAGAAATCACAAACTTTCAGTTCAAAGTGCTAAGCCTAATTCATGACCATGCACTCGCCATTCAATATATCTTAACCCTAACATTTGTGGATCAACTTCTTTCCTAAAAATATATCCATTTTGAGTTAATTTTTCAATATAATGACTAATATAAATAGATATATAATATAACATGATTTAAGCTACTATACAAAAATCATAAAAGTCACATATATCCCATGTAGTTTTTTCCAGAAGCAAATTTTCTAAGGCTTACATAAAAGTACTATTGGCCACTACTAAATACAACCTCCACATAAAATGGGAGTTACAATAATAAGCACCATTCATATTCATATTGCAAAATTCAGAGAATAAAGTTTCATCACATACTTTGCTTATCATCCTATGATTTGTCAAACGTGAAATATAGTGATTGGATTAACTTGGTACTGAAATTGACACCTTTGACTAAGATTGTTTAAAAGTTTTTGAACTGAAGTTTACCACTCCCAGAAGCTGTTATATAAAGAAAACAGAATAGAAAAAGGTTTGAATGCCAATCATAGATGGCAGGATCAGTGCTAAAGTGCAAGGAAAAAAATTGTATTCTTAGAGGGCACTTATTTAAAGTCTCAAACATATTTTGGGATTTTTTATTAATTTTCTCTTCAAACCTCATTAAATAATACAATTTAGTACAAATAATTGAATGTTATGGTACTATTTACAAAAATGAAATCTGAAATCCAATTAAAGATAAGTTCTCTATGATTTTTTCCATACACAAATGGGATTTGCCCTTGCAATATGACAAAATAGCCCTGGTAGGTAAGGGGTTAAAAGATACTTGCTTATTTCTGAACCTTTTTTCTTTGCCTAATTACAAAGTACTAAATTTCAGATATTGCAAAACGTCTTTTTGATATAGGATTTGTTGCAATAGCTAACTTTCTTTTTGGAAGAAAAAAATTACAGTAATCACCTTACTTGTCTGTTTAATTCTTTTGATACAGGTGTCTTTTTTGCATGTCAAGAGGTTTTAATGAGTTGCATTCAAACTTTAATTTAAAGTACATTATTATCATAGTATATAAATAAACTTGGCATCAAAACACAGCTAATAATCCATATTTTAATATTATATAACCTTTAAGTTCTTAGTTTTATATGGCAATGTTAGACAAAATCCTCAATTTCCCCTAGTATGAGAATTGTGACATTAGCTCTCTAGGCATCTCCTCTTCTCTAATTTATTTACCATCCCTCCGAGAAGTATGAAATTTAATGTAAATTGCTCATTATAATGTCATCAATCTTATTTCTTTACTGAGCCATAAACTAGAAAATCAGATCCCTCACACCATGCTCATCTGTCACATCTTTTCTTTCACTAATTACTAATTGTTTGTTCTCTTAGGCATTTAATACTATATCATTTATAACCAATAGAAAACCTAAGTTTTAATCTATCAAATGATGTATTATATTGTTGTCTGTATGGAGAATTTTCTATTTTGTTTCCAGTTCAAACTTTATTCCTATGAAAAACACATTGATGAGCTAAGCTGAAATTTTAACAGCTCTTGTCACATAGTTAGAAAGCCAGAAAAATTGTGATAGTTATAGGACATTGTCTACTTTTTATGTGTTATTATTCTGTGTTTCTTGGCGCATAATTTAATAAATAAAAAATTATTTAGTGCAGTGGTACCATTAGTATAGAAAAGTAGGGTTAAATTTCATTAACAGTCAACAACAAAAAAAGAAGACCCAGGTAAGTGCTATATTTTTTGTTTTTTATGTGTATTCTTTGTTTATTATTATAAAAGTAACTAAAATGTAAAAATTAGAAAGTTTTTGGATTAGATTAGGTAGACTAATGAAAAAAATTTCACAAGGTATGCTTATGAGCAACTCATGAGTAGCTTGCTTGTTACTGTAATTTGATTGGGAAACTGAGGTACACATGCACCAAGTGATTTACAACTTATGTGGTGGGAATATTAGTTAGACAAGGTTCAATAGAATTTAAGTAGAAACAGGTGTATACTGTTATGAGTTTAAAGATACTTAGGATAAAGAAATGTAGGGTAATTTAGATTTATTTCATATTTTTTCACAGTGGTCAGTCAAATTAACCAACCATGTATAGGGTAGAAAAAATAACAGACAAAATACAAAGTTTTACTGAAAGAAAATTTTTTAAATTTATTTAGGAGGTTTTAGAGATTATGTAAATGAAATTTGATAGATGAAGAAAAGTAATTTTAGTCATAATATGATAATCACATTGCATTTGGAGCTGTTAACACTTTGACTATATATATTGATGAAGAAATGTTTAGTAAAAAATACTTGATTTAATGTTCTGATTTTTGTATACAAAAGACTTAATGCTTACTGAAAGCTTGCAAAATTTTTAAACGGTACACAAAACATATTAGAAGTTATAGTATTGTTGCCCGTCACGTTGTCACCCTCTTTTATATACCAGACTACCCTATATCTAGTAAATACTAGAGCATTCGCCAAGGTACAGGATAGTTCTAGAAAATAGGTGGCGCCACACCAGTCACATGACTCGCTGACCCTTTCTTTTTCCTCTAACAACTGTTGTAATTTCTCTTCTCGTTCTTCTTGTTTCTTTTCTTGTTTAATTTCTCGTTCTTCTTGTTTCTTTTCTTGTTCCTGTAACAACTGTTGTAATTTCTCTTCTCGTTCTTCTTGTTTAATTTTTCGTTCTTCTTGTTTCTTTTGCTGTTCTTGTATTGCTGCCATCAAGTCTGCTATGCTGTAGTTTGATTTGCCGCTTCTCGTTTCCATTTTTTATCCCACTTCTAAACCAATTTGTTACGTCTTCGTTTGTTTATTAACTTTCCGTAAATTCGTTCCGACGAAAGTTTAGCGACACAAGTCCTTACTTAATAAATCTGGTTTATTCTTTCGAATACAACTTTACGATACACTTATTTTCAACAATTGCTCTATAATAAACGCTATATCAACGAACGTCAACAATACTTCTGACTGCAGTTCAATTACTCACTATCTTCACACACATTACATTATTCCTCTTCTTGTTTCTTTTCTTTTTCCTCCAACAACTGCTGTAATTTCTCTTCTTGTTTCTTTTATTTTTCCTCCAACAACTGCTGTAATCTCTCTTCTTGTTTATTTTCTTTTTCCTCCAACTACTGCTGGAATTTCTCTTCTTGTTTCTTTTCTTTTTCCTCAAACAGCTGCTGTAATCTCTCTTCTTGTTTATTTTGTTGTTCGAGCTGCCACTGTTGCAGGTTTTCTTGCAACTGCTGTTGTCTCTCTTCTTGTTTCTTTTCTGTTTCCTCTAACAACTGTTGTAATTTCTCTTCTCGTTCTTCTTGTTTCTTTTCTTGTTTAATTTCTCGTTCTTCTTGTTTTTACAGCAGTGGTTGGAGGAAAAAGAAAAGAAACAAGAAGAAGCAACTGTTGGAGACTTTCTTCCTGTTTATTTTCT